TCATTATTTACCATTTTTCTGATTTTATGTCATCTGCATATTTTATCAATTATGACTTTATGTTTTCTTCTGGGTCATTGAAAAAAAATGTTAAATTATCTAGGGCCAAGAACCAATTCCTACAGCACCCTTCTAGAAACAAAAACTCAATAATAATTTTCCCGTTTTCTGTCAGACAGCTTTTAAACTATTTAAAGTGTGTCATGCTACTTTTATATTGTTCCAGATTTTTCATCAAAATATCATGTGGTACGAAGTCAAACACTTTACTGAAGTCTAAGTATATTACATTAACACTATCTACCAAATTTGCAATTTCATCAAGAAAGATATCAAATTAATTTGACAGGATCTATTTTCCATTAACCCATGTTGATTGCAATTAATTATAGTTATAATTAACTATCCTCTACTTCTTTATTAATCAAGTCCTAGATCAGCTGCTTAATTATCTTCTCTGGGCTCGATGTTAGACTGACAAGCCTATAATTAAATATTTGCCCCTTTAAAATATTGGCACAATATTGGCTTTCTTCCAGATTTCTGGAACTTTCCTGGTATTACAAGACTTATTGAAAATCATCATAAATGGTCCAGTGATAGCCTCCGTCAGTTCTTTTAAAGCTCTTGCATGCAAGTTCTCTGGATCTGCTGATATTAAAATGTTTTACTTCAGTAGCTTTTTAATATCCCCATGAGCTAGAATGGGGATGTATAGCATTTCACTATCAATATATGATATGACTTCTTCATTTGGCATTTTCCCCAAAATTCCAGAGCAGAAATACTTACTGAACACTTCTGCTTTTTCTGCATTATTACTGATAATTCTTCTGTTTCCATCTAGAAAAGAGGAGACTAAAGGGGGATATGATAAAGGTCTATAAAATCATGACTGGTATGGAAAAAGTGAATAAGGAATAGTTATTTACTTATTCCCACAATATAAGAACTAAGGGTCACCAAATGAAATTAATAGCCAGCAGGTTTAAAACAAACAAAAGGAAGTTTTTCTTCACTCAGCGCACAGTCTACCTGTGGAACTCCTTGCCAGAGGATGTAGTAAAGACTGGGACTTTAACAGGGTTCAGAAAGAACTAGATTGATTCATGGAGGTTAGGTCCATCAATGGCTATTACCCAGGTTAGGTAGGAATTGTGTTCCTAGCCTCTGTCTAGAAATGGATGACAGGAGAGGGATCACGTGAGGATTACCTTTCGTGTTCCCTCCCTCTGAGGCACCTGGTATTAGCCACTGTTGGCAGACAGGATACTGTGCTAGATGGACCTTTGGTCTGACTCAGTATGGCTGTTCTTATGTTCTAGTAATAGACCAATACTATTATTAAGATGCCTTTTGTTCCTAATATACTTAAACTCCTTCCTGTTGTTCTTAACTGTACTGGCCCTAACTTGTTGTGCCTTTTGTTTCCTTTATCAATTTTCTACAATTCCTAACTTCTGATTTATATTCATTACTATCAACTTCCCCTATCTTCCATTTTTTATATATTTTATAGCTATCTTTGCTTCCTTTCTAACCTGGGTCTTTTTTTAACCAATGCAAATTCAGACAAGAAATAAGGTGCACATTTATTTTAATAGTGATTGCAGTTAGCCATTGAAACATCTTACCTAGGGATGTGAGGGATTTGCCATCACTTGAAGTCAAAGCTGGCTATCTTTGCAAATGATATACTTTCTCCCTCTCACTAACAGAAGTTGTGGGTTTGATGCAGTAACTGCTAGGTGAGTGAGTTTGACTTGTGTTATGCAGGTGGTCAGACTGGATGATCATAATGGTTCCCTCTAGGAATGTACTAAAATCTAGGAATGTACTAAAATAATTAAATGATAGTGCTTTCCAGCCCCCTGACCTACCACTCACACTAATATTCTCAGACCACAGAGAAAACTCACATAACCCAAATGTCTAGAATGAACAGCCCAGGTAATGGGTTTGGGTTCGCATTATGATTCCCTTCCCTCCCCTTCTGCTTGTGTCCTGCCTCATTGCACCTCCCTGTGGCTCCTACCTGTGGCTTCCTTCCTGCCTCCCACTTCACACTGATTTCCTCATCCCCATCCCCAGAGCTTACTGGGACTTCCAGACTTCCAGGGCCAGCACAGAGCTCCAGAGGCAGGGGTTCCTCTCTGCCTCCAGTCTGGGCGCAGGGAGTCCTAATTAGCTATCTCCTGGCTGCTGGCATGTGGGATGGGGGCAGGGAGAAGCTCTTTAGGAGCCACAGGCATACAAGCACACACTGCTGCATAGGAGCACCTGAAAATTTGGTGCTCCACATTTTTGGATGCCCTATGCAGCTGCATGTTTTACATATGCCTAGGGAAAGCCCTGGGTATCCAAGATAAGTATGCCTAGGTTTTAGAGTGTATGTTATAGTTACACTAACAACTATAGTTACAACTAACAACTTGTTGCCAGTATTTCTACTTGCTATTGTTAGACTCACTATACTGGGCTAAATACACTTTTTCTTGTTTTCACTACAAACATATTTCAATGCTGTGATGTGTGAAGCAGAACATAGATCGGAGGCATAACTGGTATGCTTGAGTGTACTGATTTGTGAATATTGTGAGTGACCTGCAGAAGAGAGGCTGCACACTCCACGGAGACTCCCAAATAATTTGGGGGTTGGAGTGTGTCTCTCACTAACTGCAGAGAGAGCAGGTTCTGGGTAGACCTGGAGAGGATGGGGTTGCCAGTGACTGCTAGAGACAGAAGACAGGACTATGCAGCACTTTAAAGACTAACAAGATGGTTTATTAGGTGATGAGCTTCCGTGGGCCAGACCCACTTCCTCAGATCAAATTGTGGAAGAAAATTGGCCAGCTCCCATCCAGAACACACCATACAATCCATCGTCTATAGCCAAGCCCTTCGATATAACCGCATCTGCTCTAATCCCACTGACAGAGACCAGAAACTTCAGGATCTCTACCAAGCATTTATAAACCTCAATTACTCACCCGGAGAAATAAAAAAACAAATTGAAAGAGCCAGACGAATACCCAGAAACCATCTACTTCAAGACAGACCCAAGAAAACCAATAGTAGAACACCACTTATCATCTATAGCCCACAACTTAAACCCCTCCAAAACGTTATCAATAAACCTATACTGGAACAGGATACTACACTCCGAGAGTCTCTGGGAGATGGACTTATAGTCTCCTATAGACAACCACCTAACCTCAGAATGATTCTTACCAACAGCCACAGGACATACCACACTAATACCAACCTAGAACTTTTCCTTGCAACAAACCCTGTAGCCAGCTCTGTCCACATATTTACTCTGCTGACACCATCACTGGACCTAACCATTTCAGTTATAAGATCAAGAACATATATTCTTGCTCATCCAGAAATATAATTTATGCCATCATATGCCGACAGTGTCTGTCTGCTATGTATATTGGACAAACTTCTCAGATGCTTTGCCAAAGAATCGATGCACACAAAACAGACATCAGACAGTTTCACAAAGAAAAAACAGTTTCTTGCCATTTCAGCCAGACTGGGCATCGTATCAAGGACCTGACTACATGCATCTTGCTTCAAAGAGACTTTAACACAAGACCTCAAAGAGAAGCCTCTGAACTGTCATTCATGCTTAAATTTGACACTTTACGAATGGGCCTTAACAAAGATGCTAATTATCTTGCCCATTACAAAGATAGCTTCCCCAATTATCACCTTTAATATCATTATCTCATAGACACCAACCTCCCCTCCTCATTCCCCCTCTGTTCTAAAATCTGATTTGTCTATTTTGTATGTGTTTACTTTTTTTGATTGTCTCCTTTAGTATGTATGGTCATGCCAATTTTCTTCCACAAATTGATCTGAGGAAGTGGGTCTGGCCCACGAAAGCTCATCACCTAATAAACCATCTTATTAGTCTTTAAAGTGCTGCATAGTCCTGTCTTTTGTTTCAGCAAGACCAGACTAACACGGCTACAGCTCTATTACTATTTTGCTAGAGACAGAGAGCTGGACCACAGCAGGCACAGAAAAAGCACTCTCATGCTAAAGGCAGATAGCAGCAAGGTGCCTCACAACCCTAGGAAGCCCGACAAGCATCACACCCATCCTGTGGGAATTAAGACAACTTAAAAGGTGCCAAGTGTCGGTCGGACACCTTGAAATGATTTGAATTACTGTGGAAAGTTTGGGGGAAATTTCCAATGATTTACAGGAATGAATGTCTTTTGCTTAGAACTCCGAACTCAGCCTTTAGGATCACTGTTTTATTTATGTCTCTGCTACAGACTTCTGGTGTGACCTGGGGCCAGAATTTCCAAAGAGCACTGCACACTGAGCTGTTGAAATCTCAGGGCTTATTTGGGTGACTAAATGGGATCTGAGCTCTTTGGAAAAATCTGGTCCCAACTGTGATCTCTAATCCCTGTTGAAAAATTGATCCCTGAGAGAAACTCTCTCTGTGCCCTCAATTCTCCATCTGGAAAATAAGGAAAATAATATTTGTTTTCTCCCATCTTTGATCCATCTCATCTATTTAGATTGCAAATTATTTGGGGCAGAGCTTGTCGTACCAAGTGTGCGTGTATAGTGCCGAGCACAATGACCTTGGTTAGGGCTGTAAGGTGCTAGTGTAATTCAAATAATAAATAAATAATACTGAGAGTACAAATGCTAAGTGTTCAAAAACACATCAATTTTCCTGCAAAAAGCTGGCAGGCAAAGAAAACTACTAAAAATGCAAGAGAACCAAACCCAACAAACAGGAGTGCTGGAACAATTTGTAGAGGGGGATGCTGTTAACCTCTTCTCTCCCCTCCCCCAACCTCCCCAGTTATAGAGCCTATGCCAACCAATCCAAGCCTTCCAGTCACAAGGCAAATTGTGTCACGCCAACATGCACTTTAAGAACTTTGTAACCCCGTTACAATCCTATTAGAAATCACAGGCCTGAACAAACAGAGCAAAGTCCAAACAAAGTGATAATGCTCAGAGCAAAGAGCAGAAAGTGTGTGTGCGCGTAGGGGGGAAAAACACAGCTCCCAAGTTAAAGGCCTCCAGAGTATCTTTCATCAAGAATGTTGCAGCTGAGGCTGGCCATGGGTCACACACTGTTAGCATTTGTGAAGGAGCTGCCTGCCTGGATTCTCCTCATTGGGATCTTCCTGCCAGTGGTTTTGCTCCTCTTACTGCTCATCGCTTACTTCAGGATCAAGCTGATAGAAGGTGAGAAAGACATGGGGAGGACAGACAAACCTCCTTGTATAATCACACATGTTTGGTATATAGTAATTAAACCATCCTGCAGTGAATAATTTAAAAACAAAAGCTTCCAAGCCTTTTGAATCAATTGTGCCATGTTTAAACTATTGAAAGATGGCTTAGAGCCACAGTTCAGAAATTAGATTGAAACTGTGCATAAGTCCCACAATTTTATTGACCACACGAACTGAAGCAGAAAAGAGTTATGCTCATTTGTATTACAAGTAACCACAACCGAGAAAATATAGTGCAGCTGAACTACAAATCGGGTTCCTCTGCACCATCAAGCATTCAGTGTAAGGTTAACAGTGATTAAGTCTTATGTCTGTTTGTTCATTCAATTGAATGTCTGCACTCCTGAAATAAAATTAAGAGCAGTGTACCTGCCCTTTTTACTGAGTACATTGATCAAGCGCCCCATCTGGCCTGTCATAGCTTTAGCTGGTCCATAATCATTTAGAGAACTACATTCAGATTTTTTTAATCCCCTCAGATACCAAAGACTGTGTGTGTGTCCGTGGCCACAAGCACATATACACCCTGATACAGTAAATTAGCCTCCACACTGCTAGGACAATGAAATGGCCCTAAGCAAAACAGGCCACGGGCTAGCAGGACCGTTGCAGTAAAAATGGGAACGGTATAAACATTTTAAAAAATGACCTCCCTTCCTCTTGTGTCTCATTCCAGCAAACTATCCACACAAGGAGATCTGAGCTGCATTCCTTTCCATGTAGGTCCACTGTATTAGCAGACTTGTGCCGTGCTGTGTGCACTTCAGACTGCCAGGCTCGAGATAAAGCTGTTCAGGCCTGATCCAAAGCACATTCAAATCAAATGACAGAAACTGTTTGCTTTGGATCAGGTCCTTATCAAGCAGAAAAGAGTAAACTTCTTGTTGTTTGCTTCACAATGAGTTCTCAGGGACCACGGATTCCCCTGGATTCCAGTGTCTAGACGCTATGGGATGTTGTGAGTATTGGGCACAGTGCATGTCAATACTTACTCGGCAAACTTGTCAGCAAACACTTTTGCTGCTGCTGTCAAACTGACATCCTGTTTTGCTTGGGTTCTTCCATGTTCAATTTGGCCGTATAGAACAGGTTAGAATTCAATTTGGCTGTACTCAAAATACCCGTGTTCTCTTTTGGAAGCAGAACAGAGACCTCCATGAATCGAACGAACGGGATTTGTTCATTGTCAAGGGTGGCTTATTACCACTTAAAGGGAAACACAGAAGAGGTCAAAATAGCAATGCCAAGTTAGGAACCCTGTTCCCCACAAAGACTTAGACATGCCAGTGAACATCAGTCAAACCTACCGCAGACTTTTCTAATGAACACTGACTGTGCATAGAAGAGCACTAGAGGAATTTTCCAGACAGCCGCTAGCACTGTGCAGTTTGTGTTGAACACAAGTTAATCCCATTACCACAGGCACAATGCCACATTAGACCGATCAAAGCTTCTTGACAAAGCACTAAAATCATCACTTTGGAGTAATTGTTTCTGATGCCCTCTCTTCTGCCTCCAATGGTATTTTTAATTAACTAAGTTTTGGTATAACTGATGTCAGATGCCTTTGTGTGTATCTGGAATGCCATCACAAAGAGCATGCTTGTCGATTCTCTGTATCTGAAGGAATGAGGACTTAGCACTCAAAGATCATGATAGTTTGTCTTTGGAGTCTGGTAGCACAGTCCTTTTCAGACCTTTCATGAGGCTGTTGGGCCAGGTGACTCCTTGTTTTAGCTCCTCCACCAGAGGAGCCTCAACCTAGTCCTTACATGGAGATCTGTGATGATCCTCTAGGCCTCATCTCTAAAGACATGGCCATTCTAGGCAGAGGCTGTATGATTAGAGACTGGCTGGCAGGGGAGTGAAGAGGTGGCCTCTCTTATAACCTTGAGTCCAGGGGTTCAGCTACTCAGCCATGATGTGAGACACCTTGATTCAATTCCTACTTCTGTCTGATGTGGAAAAGGGATTTGAACTGGCATTGCTCACCTCTCAGGTGGGTGTCTAACTACTGAGCTATAGAGTCATTCTGACTGTCTCTCTGGCTCAGTCAATACTTAATTGTTTAAGTATTTTGTATACACTTGAATTCCTTTAACAGGAGAGACTAAAAAGGGAGCCATGCCAGATTATCCCACAGCACAGTTGTTAAGACACTCCCATGAGAACTGGGAGATCCCTTGTTCTAATCCCTGCTCTGTATTAGGTAGATGGGAGAACCGAACAAGGTTTTCCTATGTGAGTCCCCCAACTAGAGTTGTAAGGGACGGTTATTTCCCTCCATCTACTGTCCCTTTGGTGTGGACTTTGACCTGTGCTGCCACCTTTCTTGAAAGAAACGGTTTCAGTGCTTGGCTCTAGGAGAGCTTTCATGACTCTGGGTGCCAGGCAGATACAGGCACCCCCGCATCCTGAACGTTGGCCCCTGACTTTGACAGCTTAAAACCCATCCTATCCTCAGCACCTGCTCTTGGATCGCTTCAGACCCTGCCCACTAAGTAGGCTGGCTTTGGTGGATTCCATTCACAGGTGCCGGTCTTTCCCATGTATTGTACAGAAAGCCTAGGCAGGGTTTGTGGATTCCATTGAGTGGTTAGGCACTGCAGTGTTGAGCCTTGCAACCCAGAGTCCCTTTATGGATTTATCCCTGTCATTCCACACAAAATGTCTGGCAGGGGAATGAAGAGGTGGCCTCCTTTATAAACTTGAGTGCAGGGATTCAGCTCCTCACCCATGACGTAGAAGACATCATTCCAGTTAGAGAATCTCCACTGGAAAGCAGCCAGATTTGCAAAGCAGTAGCAAGGGCCACCAACCCAGCTACAGTTCCCTGACTATTCCAGGACAAGGAGCCGCCAGGGTAGAGTCTCCTGAGTTATCTGGATGCCAGGCCAAGGAGATGCCAGAGTCCACTGGGGCACAGCAATTCCTTTGTTTCCAAAGTTTTTTCCATGCTATAGCTGTGGATCAGGCTCAAGTTCTGGTAATCAGGATGTTTATTGCTGTCATTATGTAAATAAGGTGATGCATATTCATATATGCAAAATGGGGAAATATGCCATTTGCATAACATCTCCAGGTTTCTGAACTTTTGGCTATAACAAGTATTTTGTGTGCATGTGTCTGTAAATGCATGAACTGTTAGTTACTCTCCAAGCTTCTGAAACAGGTACTGAAGCGGCCCCTTGTTCAACACCCCACTTTGTAGCTGCTGACCATATCCACCAGTGAAACCCATTCTCCTAGCTTAAATCAGTCCTGTCTTGGCCTTTCTCTGACTGAAAATAAGTGGTCACTACCAACAACCTGTATGCGCACAGAAAAGCCAATTACACATGCTGTAGTGCCAAAGCATTGCACTATGCAGTATCTTTCAAATGTGAGGAAGTCAAGGTGCCCTCACTAGAAACCCCCACTGTTCTAAACAGGTGGTACAATGGAATAATAGGAAATGGACAATGAATTCAAATTGTGTAAGTGAACATTTACACTAGACTTTTCTTGAAATACCAACAAAGGCTCTCTTGTTTAGTAAAGAGACATCATGGTGCCTGTGTATTAATCTAACACAGCAGTGATGAGATAATTTTAAGGTAAACCTAGCACACTGGTTCCCAACCTTTTTCCTTGCCATATAGGTGGGATTCCCCCCACTCCGCACCCCCCGATTTATCAATATGGGAAGGGCAGGATGATCACAACCTCTCAGAGACTGAGCCCATGCCATTGGATTAAGTAACATTTTTCTTTGGGAAAAAAAAGACATGCTGTTCCCATGGTGTATCACTGATTGTGGAAAGCATAATAGCTTTTGGTGCCCTAGACAGTAGTTACAGTAACAGAATTGTTGCTCTGAATGTGCTGTGTGATTACCATGCCTATGAATGTCTTCATGTAAAACCAGACGTTTAAATGTACTACTGAAGTTTAGAATTTTGTTCACCTTTAGGTTTGGATGTTAAGGCAACTGATGTTTCCTAACATCATACAATACCATAAAGGAATAATCAGTGAACTAATTGGCAGCAAAGTTTGCCAAAGGGATCTAGAACTTTTAGATGTACATTGCCAAATCATATCCAATAAAGATTGTTGACACTGAACCACGAGGCCATCAAATGTTAGGTGAAAAATTCAGTTGAGTTTCAAGTGGACAGACGTATATGTGCCAGTTTCAAAAGAGCCTTGCTACCTTTTGGCACCCAGTTCTCTGTGCTTCGGTTTTCCTTGTCCTGGCTTTTGGCACCTCTGTTTCCTGCACGTTGGCCAATTCCCAAGCCTTCAAATTATTTAATTCTCTTTCCAAATCATAAATTCCACTCATCACCATTCGGAGATAAACAAGAAGTCCAACAAAATGTCAAATCTTCAAGAATCCTCATGCTGAATCATCAGCCTGACTCCAGGCTCACAAGGCCTCTGCCTTTCTTGTCAGGAGATTTTTATATTGCATTTTTGGTGGACCTGCAAGGCCTTCCTGTGCCTGGGGTTCTGGTCCAAGGGCCCTGTAGTAATCAAAAACGTTCCGCCAACTCAGTGCTTCATACTGAAGGCCACTTCTTACTTAGGCTTGTCTCTAAGCCTTTGACACAGCCCCTTGCTCAGCTCTCTAATCCTTTTAGCAACACCTCTCAAAACTAGTCAGTCATGGTTTGCCTTATGTTTTACCAATTACATTCATATCAGGCTGCCAGATCTGGGTTTCCTAGCACTCCTAGACTCTCCTTCCCAGCTCTCTACAATGAGACTCCTAAGCACTTCCTACTATCTATCCCAGCTTACAGCAAGAGAGCCCTTCTGAGAAAGCTTCTTCTTCTAGGAGGTTCTACACTCAGGCTATCATCCTGTGATCCTAATTATCTGATCCAGTGGTTAGTCCAAGTCCATCACATGGGGACTGGATAACTAGGCACAGGAAGGACTGTGCACAGCTCTTTTGAAGGACTAGTCCAATCTGTCATAGGAATTCAGAAAGAGTTGGGTACCTCATTTTTGAGACCCATTTGAAAACATCTATGCAACCCAGAACTAATGTCTGCTTGGTATATTTTTGAATTCTGTCTCTTACTTTCGCCCACCCTGCTCTTCAAGCACAAGAAGACCTCATTGTCCTCCTCTTAATTCCTCCTTTAAGTTTTCCTCTGTGTGATGCCTCAGAAACCTTAAAAATGGTTGGACGGCTTGTATGCTGTGACCACAGTTTTTTCTTCTGATCAGTTTTGTCTCATTTTTTACTTTGTTCTCCCTGTCCATTTGCCGTAGCCATCTGTTGAATCTTACCTTAGACTAGATTTAGGTTACATGAGACAGGGAACGTTGGTCTGTTCAGTGCTTGTATAGCACCTAGAGTGCTAGGAGTCTGGTCAGTGATTGGCACCCTTGGGTACTACCACAACACAAAATGAAATATTGCCATCAGCACAACTGGCCAAGGACTCAGAACCTGATAACAAGCGCCTGGTGAAATAAATGGAATTCTTTCTTTTTAATTGAATAAGTTTTGGATCAGGCCTTCAATGGGCATTTAGTCTTAACTATCTCCTCATGCCTGAAAGAGGTTCCCTTAGTAATGTCTGTAAACTCACCATTCTATTACTTTTTCTCTGTAACAAGTGAAGAGCTTCTAATTAACATGACTGTTTCTTTTTCAGTGAACGAAGAATTGGCCATGGCCAAGGACCCCACAGATGCCATCCTGAGCTTCCACATCCGGTCCCAGAAACTGAGATCTGAAAGAAAGAGATTAACCAAAAGAACATAATGATATTAAAGGAAGTTATGCCTGAGAAAACAAGTTCAACAAAAGCAGTCCACTCAGCAGGTTTGAAAATAACCTGCTGTATTACAAAAGTCATGGGGAAAATAAAATCGTGGAAAGTCAGTGCAGAAGAATTGTACAACAGAAGCAGCTGCTGCTCCCTCAAAAAGGCCTTGTAATGGGTTTGCTTTTACACATGATAAGCAACACTTTCCTGGACTCATCAGCCCTGGTGACTTAATGCTATGTACTTTATCAGGTGGTTTCTGAGACATAGCATTTGGAAAAAAAACTCTCTATTCCTTAGATGCTTATATCATATAGAAAAAGCTGTCTGAGTGTCTTCATGTGATAGCTGAAGACTGCACAGGTCTGAGAATCAGCAGCAGTTTTGTTTAGTTTCAGGTGCATGAAGAGCAGGCTAACATGAATTAAGGGTTTTCTTAAAAACATACATATTGACAAAAGAAACAGATCTTTCTAAAACATGCTTTCTGAACTCGTGAGAAACTATATAGAAAATGTGACAAGTGAAAGAGAATCATGATGGAAGGAAAAAAAGGGGATTTCTTCACTTATTTTTCCTGTTTTATGTTTTACTAAACTCACCTCCAGTTCATACTGTATTATAGTCTGTTTGTGAGACAGAGTATTTAAGTTTGTACACTTGCCATAAAGTCAAATAGCAAACCATGAAAGAAGCAATGAATATCGTATTAAAGATCTGAATTATTTTAGTTAGGAAGCACAAAGAAAAACTTATACTTAAATAAGGGGATAATTTTTTAATCTAACAGGTGTAATACGTTGTGAAATTCTTTCCCCGTCATGTTTTTTTCATTAGTTGTAAACAAATACAATTATGTTCAATGAAATCATAAATATAGCTGCATTGCCAAGTATCTGAAACAGATCACCTTATAAGAGTGCAACAGTGGTCAATATTAGAAAAAAGCCACAAGAGACCACATATCAATCAACTTCACCATGCCCAAAGTCTTCTCCGTATTAGAATTTCATCTCATGCCCATTGCTTCAAATCCATCATGAATGGCATTACTTTACATTTGCACTCACCCTATTACTGTACATTATAGTGTACCATACTGCAAGTGTAGAAGGGCACAGAACGCAGGGTTATGGGCAACATTCATACTGGCATAATGGTATGTTTGACTTTGCACTATTTTAATTCTTAACTTTGTATTTCCTAATATGGTTTATTTTGAGAGCAACCATAACTAATAAATAAAGCCTTTTTGTTTGGGAATTTAAACTAGACCTGAAGCAAGAATATTCCAATGAGTGGAAACTACATATTCTGTAATGTCCCGTAAACCTGATAAAATGAAGGAGGTTTATACAGTTTTATTCAGAACAGGCTATTTACTTTCCTAGTCTTGTTAGGATATGGACTATATCCACTGAATGTCAAACAATCTTTGTGTAATTGTAAAGAATCTAAACGTCATTTTCCTATTTTTGGTAACTGGCAAACTCTACCAATGTAATATGCAATTTCTTTATTCCATCAAAAATAATTTTAACAATTAACATAGTTATTAAAGGGTTATCATATGATGTACAATATAAATTGGCCTTCACATCCCATAAATATTTGTAAACATGTTTCTGATATTACCATATAGTTAAATAATGTAACTCCCTGATGCTTGTTTAAAAAACCTTAAATATCTTGCAAAACGATGTAGAAATGAGGAAAGAAACCTGAAAATGTACATTCCTCTCACCCCAGTAACCTGCAATGGACCTTGCATATTTTCATGGAAAAGAGCCAGTATTTCCATAGGTCAGGTGTAGTATTAACATGTAACCATTTGGGTAGGACTGTTGATTCAAAGGGAGCAGGGGTAGACTGACTAATGCTGGTAGCTTTTGCCAATCTCACCCTGTGTGTCTAAGTGGGCTTTCATTAGCTATAGCTAGGCTTGGCAGAATTATTTTTTATATATATAACCTCAATACTAATATTTATTTTCCCATTGTTTGTATCAATTTAAATAATTTTAACAATTGCACAAAATTACAGCTTGCCAACATTTTCTCTCATTTTTATTTATTTAAATGTTCACAGCTAGGGGAGTTCAAACAACAGGGACAATAGTGATGTTGCCGGTCCCCTCAATTTTGAGAACAGCATTGATAATCATAGTTTGTACTAAACAGTCTTCATACAACTCCATGGACCAAATGAGATTGTTGAAGGTTGAGTGAAAATTTGTTTAACGTGGATGAACAGTTGCATACCAACTTGCACACTATGTTGGTTAGCAAGACCATTTCCAGTAGCAAGATAAGCCAGCAGAGCTGAAGGATTCGCTGACTGCTGGTTTATTTTCAGAGTAACTATCTCTGAGGCCATTTCCCAGGCCAACAGGCCTGATTCACTCAGTCAGATCCCCGATAGCCCAGGTATTTTGTAATAAACCCCTGTAGGCCTTTATGATTACCAGACTATTCCAGAGAGAAGGTTTCCACCATTTTTCGCCCTACAGGGCAATCTCCTACTGGTCTTGTTTCCACCATCCCGCTAAGGGGAAGAGGGACTGGACTCACAAGAAGCAGATGAGACAGTTATTTTGTGACAGTGGACATTGATTTTAAAAAGTTACATCTTTATCAGTTAAAAATCAATCTGTCAACATCACATGTCAAAACATACAAATCAGACTTTAGTAAGTCTTCAAGCAACATTCTTCTTAGTTGGCCTGGCTGTACATTTTTGTCAGTTTGCACATACATAGTGAAATCAATGTATACTGATATTTACCAATGAGAATCTAATTCATCCAAGCCTAGATCTAGATTTTACCTTAGTGAACAAACTTGTACCCTGTATAAAATTAGTGATAAAGAAATAGACACATCCTTATGAATGTATCATGATGAAAAGTCACATCTGGCATGTTTTTATTAAGTCTAGAGAGGGCATCTTGAAACACATGAAGAATCTAAGTTAATTGAGAATGTGATTTCACTAGCAGCTGAATAGGATGGGAACTTGTCTTAGGAGAAGTCTACATTGAAAACAGATGCCTGCAGCTGAAACTTGCCAGCTTTTAAGGGTCTGTTTAATTGCAAGGACTAGAGTTTGAGTTCTAGGACCAGA